AATTTCTCGAAAGCTATTAATATGACCCCCCCAAACTGTTTCTCTCTCACACACACCTTCATGTATATGTGCACATGCATTGTGTGCACACATTTATATGCAATTTTTAGGGTTGGAGGGCATCAGTTCTCTGAATTCAATCTATGGGCCCTCACATTCCAGGTTTAGAAGCTGTGGTTCAATCAGCTTGATTCTCTATGGGCTGCTGCTTCAGGCTAAGAAAACTAAATTCTCTCCTTTAACATAAGAACTGCTAAGGAATCTATCATCTCAGTGCTCATTTAGAAATTTGGGTTAAATAATTTGCATATAAAGAGGCCTTACATGTTGGGTTTCTTTAATCTTAATATATATCTATCTTTATCTCATCAGAAAACAGATTGTATTTTATTTTCTCTCTTCTAAGGAAATGATAAAAATAATCATTATATAACTTATTTACTCAGTCTTAAGTTCATTGTTGCCTTTTTTTGATGGCAAATTTCTTGGGGTTAGCTACTTAAAAATACTTTCAAGAGTATTTTACAAATTATAAACACTTTAACATTGCTAATATTTCGTGATTTTTTTTTTTATTTGGAAAAAATTAGGGTATTTGAATCAAATAATTCAACTGGATTTTTTTCTTGGGATATTTAAAACAAATTACTAGACACCCCAATGTGCCAGGTATACTTTGAAGTTACTTCTTTAAAACTAGTTTGTTTATTTATTATTATTATTAGAGACAGAGTTTCACTGTTGTTGACCAGGCTGCTAATTGCAGTCCAAAGCCAGTTTTAGCATAATTTACTCTCTGTAAAGCGACTTTAAATATCACAATATCTAACACTTTGTTCTTGTCCCAGGTAAAGCAATATGCTGTAACTAAATATTTTTATTCTATGTGTTCTCCAGGTTCACAGTGGAACAGGAATTGATTTAAAAGATGTTTGAAGGCTCTTGGAATAACTGAAATTTTCATCAAAGATGCAAATTTGACAGCCCCTCTCTGGTAGAAATAAACACAAATTTTTAAAAATGTTATTCCATAAGAGCTTTATTAAATGATGATGTTAAATCCTCTATTTACTATGGAGTTCTGGAGTTAAAATATAGTACACTTGCCAAATAAATCTAGCCATGAACATATTTAACATCTACAAGCAAAACTATAAATACAGTCATAACATTAAGTTTATATATATCTGGGTTCTTAGTTTTCTTTGACAATAGATTATATTCTCGGAAGACATGTCTTAAACATCTTTGGATTCCCCAGCCATCTGGACATAATGCCTTGTAGAATAGATAATCAATGAATGTGTTGATGAATATCTCAATACGGTCCCATTGTAGTAAATCATGTAAGAAAGAAAGAAGGGAGGATAAATGAGGGTCTGCTGTGAGAGCTAGACCAAAGATCCTTTTAACAAAGGATAAAGAATACCGAGTGAGGATGGGTATAAACATGTTCTAATTCTTTAATTAAAAACCAAAAAACAAAAACAAAAAAACCAGTAGGCTGTGTGTGGTGGGCTTATGCCTGTAATCTCAGTACTTTGGAGGCCGATGTGGGTGCATCACCTGAGGTCAGGTTCGAGGACTAACTTGGCCATCTACTAAAAATACAAAAAAAATAGCCACACATGGTGGTGGGGTGCCTGTAATCCTAGCTACTCAGGAGGCTGAGCAGGAGAATTGCTTGAACCCAGGAGGCATAGGTGGCAGTGAGCCGAGATTGCACGCGTTGGTATCCAGGCCTGGTCAACAACAGTGAAACTCTGTCTCTTAAATGGTAATTAAGTTAATTGATTAATATAATGCTATATATAGTTTTATAAGAACTGTAAACTCAAAGTGTTTTTCTGTGTTTTATACGCTGGGTAATTGGTTGTCTTAGTAATGTTTGAAGATTATCCCAAGAGAAAATAATCCAGTGGTGAAGATTTGAGGTTCAAATACCCTAATGTTTTCAAATAAAAA